ATGCATTAGAATTTGCAAAAGGGTAACAATTGATGTTTCAGGAAATGAAGATCAATAAGCTTCTTTCAAATATCTTTGGTATTGTTGCTAGCTTTAAACATTTCTGTTTTATCATTGTAAAAGTTTTTTCATCTTGTTTAGGTTATCTATGACACAAGTGGTTTCTTGAATAAGAATAGAGATCCAGTGCATCCCGACACTATTCAGCTACTCTCATTGAGCAGTGAAGACTTGCTCAAGTTGTTTGCCTCCTCTTTTGCTAATCAGTCCAAGAAAACAGCAAGTTCAAGTCATATCAAGATATCAGACTTTCAGAAGCAAACAGTTGCTACTAAATTTAAGGTAGTAATGCCATTTTCTTAATTTCTTATAAGCATTTTATGTTAAATATTTGAGAAAATAACTGTGTTATAATGCTGAAAAAATAGTCAATATTGTCTTTATCAAATCTTGCAGGATGTGTTGTTCAAATTGATGCAGCAGTTGGAAAGTACTGCGCCACACTTCATTTGTTGCATAAAACCGAACAATAAGCAGGTTCCTGGCATGTACAGCAATGATCTCGTCTTTGAGCAGCTCAGAAGCTACAGTCTTCTTGAGGTTGTTCGGATCTGTAGATCTGGGTATCCTACTAGGATGACACATCAAGAATTCTGTATAAGGTGAAATGTGTGCTCCTCGCTGTACTGCTAAGTTTCCCTTTTGGATGCGTTGTGATTTATACAAATGTGGTTATTTAGGTATGGTGTCCTCCTTCCAGAAGACCATGAACGCAAAGATCCCTTAAGCATGTCTGTTACCATTCTGCGGCAATATGACATCCTTCCTGAGATGTACCAAGTTGGGTTTACAAAGTTATATTTTCGGGCAGGACAGGTAAGTTTTTTTTTTCTTAGTTTCTCGAGTATACCTATGTTTTCTTTCTTTATAAAAAAATATTTTGATTGCCATAAATCATTGATGCAGATGCAACTTGTAACTTATTTAATCATAGCTATTACAGAATTAAGCAAATAAAAATTGTAATGTCTCTCAAAAATTAATTAGCTACATCACACGAGAATTTCAGATTTAAGAAGCACATATGACCTCATATATTTCTGCAAATAGTCCCATGATATTAGAACAATGAGAAATGACAAAAGATGTGCTAATAATTTTTCTAGGGAAAATGCACAAGTACCCCTTCAACTACCCCTGAACTTATTTTATAAGTAATTTTCTATCCCTTTTCAGCCTACGTGGCACTAGCTTGAAAAAAAAGTCAAGCAGTGTTGGGCCCACAAGATAGTGCCACGTAGGCCAAAAAGGGGTAGAAAATTACTTATAAAATAAGTTCAGGTGGGTAATAGGACTTTAATATAGTATAAGTGTGTCTCTGACATTTCAGGCATAGGTTGAGGGGGTACTTGTGCATTATCCCATTTTTCTATGATAAGTGCTAAATTTGGACTTCCAATGAGGCAATGGGTGTGCATGTTACTAAAGAATAAATTTCCTAGTCTATCAATTTTCTGAACTTCTATCATGGCGACTTATAGATTGCTGTGCTGGAGGATGTGAGGAAACAAGTTCTGCAAGGCACTCTTGAGGTGCAAAAGTGCTACAGTGGTCCTCATGCTCGTCGTGACTTCCATGAGCTCAAAGGAGTAGTGATCGTACTTCAATCATGTAAGGCTGAACGTTTTGCAGCAGTTCATTTTTAGAAAGAATGTTGTTCAACCTTCAAAGAAGTTATTAATGAACAGAATTTTCTCTCGCCAGTTTTATTTGTACATTACTTCTGTTTATTTCAAACTATTTCTCTTTTTCAGTTAAAAAAAAAAAAATAACTGCTTTTTCAAAATTATTTAGTCGATAACTTCCAAGTTCTTGAGAAACCAGTGATTCCATATCCAAACTCCTTTCTCTCATTTCTTTCTTTCTTCGTTCCTTTCTTTTTAGTGGGAATAAGTTGATGTCATGGAATTTTCTAGAATTTTTAATTCGAGGTAGTACGTGGTGATATGATGTCAAAATATTTTATTGTAGTTGTTCGTGGTGAAATTGCTCGAATGCAGTATAAGGATTTTCTGGAGTCTAAACAGAAAAACGCTAATAAAGAAAATGATGAGCAGCTGGTGGCTGCTCTGCAGATACAATCAGGTAAAGTTTTTTCTTTTGGCATCTAAGGTTACGAATTTCAAATATGGATTTGTTTGCCTAACTTTTCTTTTCTTGCAGCTATTCGTTGCTGGTTGGCTCATAGGCAACTTAATCAACTGCAGAAGTCAAAAAAGTTAAATCAAGACAGACCAAAACCAGCCAAAAAGACTACGGAGGTGAAGGTAATCTGTTCGGTAGATGATCATCAATGTCTTTATGTGCAAGCTCTCTTGTGTCAACTTCTGTTTATCTAGATGGTCCCTAGCATGAAATAGTTTATCTTTTTACTAAAAGCTTTTCCATAAGTTCTATTGTAACTTGTCTTCTTTCTTCATTCAGAATTCTAGTATCTGCTTCAGGATTAATATCTTTAAGAATTTGGTGGCCTGTTGCGTGAAGCCAGTTTTAGGTATCTTTTCCCCCCTTTTAGCAAATCCAACTTTAGGTGTTCTGATACTTTTCCTATATGAAAAATAAAAAAATGTTTCTTAATGTTTTATCCTTTCTCAAGAGGATTAAATACTTAGTCCTGAAATTGTTGTGTGTTTGATTCTTTAAATTAGAAGGTAAAAAGTGAGAAAAATGTCTGTTTCAATGCATAGGAAGGCTCTTTTTTGGTTTAGTTGTTAATCCTATAGTGCATCCCCTAAATCAATTAATTAGCAGCCAAAAAAGAAGGAAAAAGTACAGTTTGTGAAGAGTAAATGGTGGACCCCAAACCCCTTTCTCTACCTTATAATCCACTCTCTTTTTATATGTTCTAACTGCCCGTGGCTGTCGCGCAAAGTGGAGTCTAATTTTAGGAACTAATCTGCACACTCTGGAGGCAACAAAGTAGCATATCTAACACTTCACTTTGACTTTTGAGAGTAAGATTGACTCTGTAGTAAGCCTATTTCTTTTAATCTCAGCAGGACTTGCCTGCAGAAATTTTACCTTCTGTTGTCGAAGACCTCGAAAGGCGGGTTTTGGTGGCTGAGACAACCCTTGAAGAGAAGGAAAAGGAAAATGCTGCCCTAAAGGAGCAAGTGAATCAATTGGAGTCCCGATGGTCAGATTATGAGGCCAGGATGAGGTCGATGGAGGAGATGTGGCAAAAACAAATGGCATCATTGCAGGTTAGTAATATCTCCAAATCCGTGTGATCATAGAGAAGAGAGAGTTTTTCTATTTTGTTGTGTCTTCTTACTAGTGCTGTAGTCTAATGATTCGGGTTTATGATAGAGAGATGTATTAGGTCCATCAGATTCCGATGCAAAATCAGCCATATGAAGCTCTCTGTAGTTCCTAACCATAATCCTGCTTTGTCAATGACTTGAAATCTATTATGATATAACGAACGTTCATCTAGTCATGATGCTTCTTCGGCATTGAACAGACAAACATATCTCCTTAGCCCAGTGGAAGAGGCACTTGGGGCCTGGGAAGCAAACAAATAAATCTGAGCAGAGTGTCTTATTCAGTAGTTGATATTTGGGCCGTTAATGTTATTTTAATTTGCTTTCGGGTGTAGAGTGTATGCATATGTTCTTGATATTCCATATTCATGAACGATAAATCTGCTAACGTCTTATACATCAAATGCTTTGCTTTGGCAGGCAAGTTTGGTTTCAGCCAAGAAGAGCCTTGGTGTTGACAATTCTGCCAGTCACCCTGGAAAACTTGAAGGTTCCCCATCTCCTTGCGGTTATGAATCTGAAGACACTACAACAACTATGGGCACTCGCACTCCTGGGGGCAGCACTCCTATAGAATATGCTAGCAACGGTGTAGATTTTGGAGGTATTAGAGAGATTAATGGTGGTTTATGTGTAGTCAATTACCTTAGCAGGGAGTTTGAGCTACGAAAACAAAATTTCGATGATGAAGCCTTGGCAATTAGTCAGTTAAAGTCAGGGCAGTTACAGTCTACTAGTCCTGCAGAAGATTTTCGAAGACTCAGACACAAGTTTGACGAATGGAAGAAAGACTACAAGGCTCGGTTAAAGGAGACAAAGTCGAAGGTACACAAGCTTGGTTATTCAGAAGCAGAGAAAACTCGTAGAAATTGGTGGGGTAAGAAGAGCAAAAGATAACTACTACTTCTTCTTCGTCGTCTTTTCTGTGTGAAAAATGTATAGATAGAAACTCATTTTCCCAACCATGGGTTCTTAAGCATAGCAGACTTAGCGGAGACCGGGGAACGTAGTGTGCTCCTATTCGAAAGGATCCACTCCCTCCTTAGATAGTTCTAGTCCTGTTTGTGATTATGTTTGTTTGTAGACACTATGTTAGGTTCATGAACATACATGCATAGAGTTTTGCAGAACTTGTGATAGATCAGTTGCAGCTGCAGAAGAGTGATGTATTTTACAACTCAAATGAGTATTAAAAATTGATTGCATTTTGCTTACTATTACTAATATATTTCTGGATCTTCATTCACAGCTATTTTGATTTGATGCACTTGAGTCGAGGGTCTTTTCAAAATAACTTTTCCACCTTCACGAGGTAGGAGTAAGGTTCGGATATACTCTGCCTTTCCCATATTCCACTTCTGGAATTACACTAAGTATGCTGACACCTGTGCTGATGGGACGTAGTAGGTTTCTTATGTGGAGTAGCGAGGTGTGAATAAGGCGGATAAGTTTTACTCCCTCCGTTTTAAAAAAGAATGCCTTTTTTTGGTCTGTTTCAAAAAGAATGACCTCTTTTTTTTTTGTAACATTTTAAAATCAGTTTTTCACGTGACATGTAAAATTTTCTTTATACTCTTAAACTTCGTGTCACGTGAAAAACTTTCTTTATACTCTTAAACTTCGTGTCAACTCAAACTAGGTCATTCTTTGTGAAACGGAGAGAGTATATTCCATGATTGTCGGTGAATGTGGATCGAACACGTGACCTTCAGATCTTCAGTCTGACGCTCTCCCAACTGAGCTATCCCCGCTATATGTTAGCTTATTATTCAAATTAATAAATATTTATAACTAAACTTAAAATAAATAAGCAAAAATTATGTCATGTCACTTTGAGTTTGTAGTCCTCATTTTTTTCTAAATGAAGATTAAGACGTCTAAATATGAATATATATTTATATATTGAGTTTTGTGATATTTCAAATCAGAATATTAAATAATTAAGACACTTTGTTATTCAACATCTTAATTTAGTCATAAACATTTGGGAGTACAAGTGTATTCTTTTTTCTTTAGTAAAGGTAGACTAAGCGAAAAAAATCTTCTGATTCTCGTTGAGAGTCATTCTGTGAGACGTCTAATAGTCTCTAACCTAATAGTCTCTAACTTGGTTTTCGAATCCTTAATTTCAGCCCTAAGCACAAATAGAGATCTACCACAAGTCTTACTATATAACTGTTGACTATCAAACACGAGCTCAAACTAATTAAAAAAAAAGGTGATACACGAAACTCAAAAATTCGAAGTAGAAATATACATCTTACTTGTTATCAAGCTCATCCAAAAGAAAAACATATGTACCATTTAAAGTAGTTTACTTCATCCGTCTCATTTTATGTCACACCTTTTTCTATTTTAATTCATTTATATAAAAGTGTCACTTAGAAATAATTTAATTGTAAAATTCCTCTTTTACCCTTAATAAAATTATTTACAGCTACACAAATACCTAAGGATCATTTTAGATCCTAAATTTGAAAAACCTTCCCTTTTTTCTTATACAATGTGATAAGTCAAATAATGTCACATAAAATGAGACGAACGATTAATATTTTTCGATGTGCCAAAAATAAAAAAAATAAATAGAACTTTGAAAAAGAAGAGGATTATATTGTACTGTTTTGAAACTTTTAAGGACCTCGTGGCAATTTGCTCTTTTAAATAAATCCCTCCAATTTGAAAAGAAGGCCAAAAAGTTACCGGAGTTGACAGTAAACTGGCCGGGGATTTCACAGATTCCGATGAAGGCTCAAATGGGTCTGAGAAAATCGTCAAACAAACTTCTCACTGCAGATCGTGGAGCCAATAGGATTGAAAATTTATACAAGGAACACAACGAACAGTTCGATCACTGGGCGTTTCTGGTATTTCTCTTTAACGACTTTTTTTTTGTTTAATCCTCTTGGTGTTTGTATATTTTTTTGCTGAAAATGCGGGGTTGAGATCCCATTTCACGTAGTTGAAATGGGTTTGTATAGAAAAAGAGAATTGAAATGTTTTCTGGTATTTCTCATTTGGAACTTGCTTTGATTTGGGGTTTCTTTGTTTGTGTTAGCAGCATTCATAATTTTGCTTCACTTAGCTTATGAATCATTGTGGTTTTAGTATTGAAACCCATTTTACGTCGTTGAAATGGGTTTGTATTGAATAATAAAATGGAATTTTCTATGGGATTTCTCATGGGTACTCATCAACAACAACATAGCTAGTAAAATTCCACCCAAAGTGGGGTTTGGAGAGGGTAGAGTGAATGGAGAACTTACCCCTACCTCGTGGAGGTAGAGAGGTTTTTTTCCGGAAGACCCTCGACTCAAGTGAAGCAAATCAAAGAGTAACGGAAAGGAAAAACGGCGGTGGAGAGAACATGAGAACTAGTTGGAAAGCAATGCAGTGCATACATGCGAGGAATAATAACACCAGCAACATAGGGCAATCACCTAAAACGTAGTAAACAATGGATGATAACACATACCAAAAGCCAGAAACTACATGAATAAGACTAGTACTACGAAAAAACCCGGTCTTTCAGGCTACCGCCAAGCCTTGTTCCGTTGGAAATCAAGCAATCTAAAGGGTACTTGTTTACTCGAAAGCTGTTTTGGCCTAATTAGTCTTTTTTTTCTGGTTGCTAATTTGGGTTCTTTGTTTGTGTTAGCAATGGTTATGTTTATCTCTCATGTACAATAGCTTTCGGAATCACTGTGGTTTTGGGATTAAGACCTTGTTTGGCTTGTTGTAATTGTTGTTGAGATGTATGTTGTGTGGTGGATGTTATGGGTTTCACCTGGTTGAAGTGGGTTTGTATAGAAAAAAAGAATGGAAATTCCTCTCGCATTTCTTATTGGTACTCACTTTATTGAGTTGTTTTGGACCAATTCTTAACTTGTGTTAGCAGTCCTGCTTTTACATCCCTCATCTCTCGGTAGCTTACGTGTTGCTGTGGTATTGGTTTAGGTTTATGTTCAGACTACCTTTTCTTATTTGATTGTCACCAATGGTACCTGTTCATTCAAAACGTTTTTACAAAATTGTTCGTTCGCCATGAACATAGAAAAGAATAATTATTTAGTATTGGGGTGAAATAGGTTCAGATAGAATGGAATGTGGGTATATAAGATGTTGAATGCCTTGAATCGGACCCGTTACAAACAGAAAGGACGGGGGTCTCACTGTGGCAAACCCTATTTTTTGTAATTCTGTTTTTGCCTCTCCATAATAAAACTGCTCCCTCTCTTCCCGTGGACGTAGCCAATTTATTGGTGAACCACGTAAATCTGTTGTCTTGTTTTTCGCGTTTATATATTTTCTCGTATTATCTCAAATTCCGCACAACATAAGATTTATATAGTTAGAGTTAAACCAGTTTGGGATTGATGTGTAGTTGTTTGATTGATTTGTTATTTTGCCATAATTTCTCTTTTTCTGTCACCTTGTAAGTGTAGCTTAATGTGGCCATACTCCATAGCAATTGAAACTGTTACAATGGTTTGTAAGGGCCTTTGGCATTTTAGTTATGTGGTTACGGTTGTGATGGTTTCCTGATGCTGATATCCGCAGGATCAAATTGAGGCCCCTGTGTGGGTGGATCTTACCTTGGAATGTAAGTCCGCCTATAAAGACATGTGAGTGGCTGTATGGGTTTGTTTGTGTTTCTCAACTTTATGCTGGTTTCTTGGGGAATTAGTTTTTCAATCCAGCATTTTCATCTTTTTGTTGCAGGGACGAGGAATGGTTCCACATAAGCCATCCGTAAGCAACTTCTGTTTTTGCGAACTTGTGCAGTTTCACTATAGTATTGTGGTATCTCTAAGTTGAATGAGCTTTCAGGTTTCACCAGGCTTCTTCTCGAGAGTTGAAGTCAGCATTTTCTCACTCTGGAGAAAGTTCCATAAACCTGGAGCATGGCATTCAGGGATCATCTTCTCCTAAGCTCCCACCTTCAGTTTCAAGATCAAGAGGCAAAGATTTCCGAAGCAGACAGTGGAGTCAAGGAGATCAGACTCTTACTTTGGATAAGAAACATCATGTAAAGCACTTAAGTAAAGGGGGTTTAGAAGCTGATAAAGTAGTTGAGCATAAGACAAATAAAAAAAAATTAACAAGCTCTGCAGCTTTAGACTCAGATTCTGCTTGTCAAGCTCTGTATTCCAGGGATAAAAAGATTAGCTCGAATTCTTTGGCTGCCTATAGTGACAAAACCCGCTCAATAAGCAGCAGCATTACATCAGAGCATGGTGAAGAGTGTTACAAGCAAGAGTTATGTGTTAGCGATTCCTCAAGCACCATTACATCTGAAGCTTGTGGACAGAAGTCCTTTGAAGTGTCTGGTCCAATACTTGGTCAAACTACTGGGCTATTGTCATCTCTAAGAGTAAGTCTGAGGAAAAGTTGTGTTACAAGACAAGCATCAAGGATGGAGGTAAATGTTTGCAGGCAACCAGAAGGTCGGAAATCTTCCTCAAGTAAATCGAGTGTAGGATCTTCTTCAATTCCCTACAAAGAAAGGGAAGGCGAAACTGAGAGAGAAAGTAAAGAGAAAACTCCAGAAAGCAGAAATGTAACTACAATTGTAGAAGCGAAACAGGCTAATAAGTCCAAGGTTCCTGTTCAAGCTCATAACAGAACTTCTATCCCTAAAATGGTTACTGGAAGAACTGTTTCTTCGTCTGTTTCCAGTGAAACTAGTAGGCCAAAGGTGAGAAACCAGAAAAGTCGTTCAAAAGCTTTATATGGAAAACTTCCTCCTCTTTCTTTTTTCATCATTCCACAACTTTTATATTTAGAAGATTATGTTTTGGCCAGGAAAACTTTTACCTTCTATTTTACTGCCAAGTTTGGGGATTGACAGGGGTTTATTTCTAAGTGTTAAGCATTGTAGCTGGACAAGCATTTTTATAAATTGACTTCCTTCTTCTTGGTGGGAGGGGTGCATTACTAGCGTTTCTTGCTGCATTTAACCATTGATAAACTGATTTGTTTATTTAATTGTGTGTGTTGTTATAGGTTCATCCGACTAATGTACAAAGAAAAGCATTGGTTCCTCAAAGAGCCAATGGACGTGTGGCCTCAATTTTGGTCTCAAAGCCTAGTGAAAGAATTGGAAGTAGCCATTGTAGAAGGGTTGTGAGCAGTGGTAAGGAGAATGATGTTGTCAGAAAGGGTATAAGCCAGAAGTCAGTTGTCAAAGACAACCAGGGGTGTAGTACAAAATTCTCAAGTTCCAAAAATGAGAATAAAAGAAGCTGCCAGAGCACAAAGTCGAGTGGTTTTATGGTAACGTTTTTACTCATAGCCGCTTATTGTTGCTCAATATTTCTACTTTTTGACTGGTATAAAAGATAAAGAACATTATCAATAGTTTGAACTGTAAATCCAAATTATTGTGGTGGAGCTTAGTCTGAAGATATATTGCAGAACTTAGCGATTGTATTCATCATAGTTTAGTAGCTTCTGGCTTTATTTCGTGTTAAGAGTGCAAGAGTCATAAACATGCCATAGACATTTCTAAATTCTATGACTATAAAATCAATGATATTAAGGATAAAACGAGACATTTAAACATAATCTAAATATAGAAAGGTGATCCGTTTTGGGAGACTATAAAGGGAAGTGTTTCACATAAAATGAGACACGAGGGAGTATCACTTATTAGGGGCTTTTGACTAGAAAGCCTGAAATGTAGTCTAAGAAAATGTTAGATTTGGTACTGGTTTCAATCTCAGCGTTCAATTAAGTCTCTGGGGGGATGACT